ATGAGGCCTCCCTTGCCAAACCAATTTTCATATCCTAGATTTGAAGCTTTCGTGACTGCAAGGATTCATATTCTTAGGTTTTTTCGGTAAAGTCGCGCAGGTAAAAAACTTTAAATTAATAAAAGTTACTTGATACAGCTATCGTGCTGTGACGGTTCCACCTGAAGACGGAAGCTTGTGTTGCCTCGGAAACGTCGTGATTTTTATTTTATTTAACTTTTATTAATTTAAATTTTTTACCTACGTGACTTTACCGAAAAAACCTACGAATATTCTCATATCAACACGCACTTTGCCCCCCACACTGCACAGACACCGTGGAACCCCTTATGGGCGATGTTGCTACGCGTAAACGCAAATGAGTTGTTTTCAGGTCATCGTTTGTAGCATTGAGATGACATCTGTGACTTTGCATCACTTAATATATATTCAGGAAGGAAACCGGGGGAACCCCGAAGAAGCTCGTGCAATACTTTTACACTTACTATAACATGTTACCCTATTTGTATTTTAGGATTGTATATTACGGCTAATTCACATGTTATATTGTATACTTATTCAAAATTGCACATACTTTAGCCCCTTACTATTAGTTAGACTTTGTAACTTTAGTATAGTTAGACTGTATACCACTTATGTAAGTTTTAAGATTCCTACATGTTGAATGTATGCACCTTTCTGCCATAGTAAATTCCTTGTCTGTGCGAACTTTCATGGCGAATAAAAGCCTTTCTGATTCTGATTCTGTAAGGTGCACATTTCACACACCCGAATTGGGAATTGAACCCAGGCCCTTTTTGCTGTGATCTAGTCCACACATGAGTATCCACTGCGCCATCCTGATGTCGGAAGCAAGCGCACATGTTTCTGCGGGACACCACAAACCCGAACCACATCCTCCTGCAGTTAAAGACAAAGATCCCACGTATAGCCTGGAACAGACTGTTGGGGCAAGTGCTGTTAGCGAGTAGCAGCACCTCTGAAGGCCACAACGGCACACGAGGGGGTGGAGTGGCCAACACCACGCTCGGCGGCCTTTGTCTCCCCAGGCAGCAATTTGAGGCTGAGTCGACCTAGGGGAGGCCCATGACCGGTCCAGATAATCCGTCACTGGTGTTCGCCGTGAGCGGGAATGGAACTCGGGGCGCCGGGTTCGTCGCACAGCAGCGTGCTAACCGCTGCACCACCGCTCCCCATACCCCGTGCAGTAAACCACGCACCATGCACGCGCTGGTGTCTACGCTGCAAGCCTGTAATGCAGGCACGCCTGTGGAGGCAGGGTGTGATGACAGCACAGCAAGGATTCATTTCCATCTGCACGGGTGTTGCTATCTCCAACCCCCTCGTGGGCACGGGTTTACTCCGGTTTCCTCCCACGTGTATACAACACTGACTAATGTAGTTGGCCAAACATCCCAGTATAGGACCGCAGAGCTTGGGAAATTGTTGAAGCTTTTTTTTGTCAGCCTTCCCACTTGCTCCGTGATTTCCCGTGCCTCTTGATGATCAAATAAAAACGGTGCTGGTTACAAATTCTGCATTATGGAGTATTTTTATGACGACGACTTAATACTACATATGCAGTGACATAAACGATGTCACTATAGCGTAGCGACAGTACCGAGTGAAGAGTGGTACTGTATGTGCGGAGCCTCTCTCTAGCACCAGAGTGAGTATGCCATGGAAGGGCTCTCTCGGGGTGGCATGACCCCGGTGACGTTGAGAGAGAGGTCAGGTGATGACGTGGTACACTCTAAGTGATGTAGGGGCCAGAGTCTTCAAGAAGGATCTGGAAGGGGGGCGTGGCCAGGGGCGGAGCCCGGCTACGCCGTGGCCAATCAAAGCCGAGTCCCGATCGTGGCCTCAATTGAACCCACTGCACATACATGCACATGTGTGTGGAGTGCCACAGGTTGTTCTCCGGGCTGGGCCACGTTTCTGCAACCCGCATAAAACAAAGGCGCGTGCAATAATTCAAATGTGAATATTTATTTCCAAGGGCATTTCAGCAAATAGTTTCTGAGACTGACCGAGCGCGTCTCTCCGTGCAAAGAGGATCGTCCATAAATGACGTCACGCGATTTTGGACAATTTTTGACCCCCCCCCCCCGTCACACGGCGTCACAAAAAGTCACACCCCCCCCCTCAAATAGGACGTCATAAAGCTCTGCCCCCCCCCCCAAAATAAAACATGCTTCAAATCGCTTTAAACTATTGTCATTGTAGTGCGTATTTAATGTGCCGCTGCACTCTGATGTTATAGGAGAAAATATTATTAAAAAGTCTATTTAATTAAGTGGAACGTGTTGTCTTTATTTATTTAAAGTTGCGCATTTTGATGTGACGTCACATTTCTCAAACCCCCCCCCTCGTCACACATCGTCACAAATGTCTGACCCCCCCCCCCCCAGGTGCGTGACGTCATTTATGGACGGCCCCAAAGGTTACGACTGAGAAGTGTCGCAATGAAAAGGTGCGGCCGTGAAATGAATTTGCTTACGCAAATGCTGGCGGAAGTGGCACACTTTTAGAGGTGGTTTTCGGCCTACTCTTCCACGTTCAACCGGACGTGTTAGAAGAGGTGGTGCGTGCCCAGGGTTGAGAGTGGAAGGAGGAGTGGCGGGTTGATCAACAAGTGTCCAAAATTTCGATTCAAAGCTTTCGTGACTGCAGGGATTCATCTTCTTGGTTCTTTCGACAGACCTGGTTTTCACCTGAGGACGGCTGCTTGCGTTGTGGCCGAAACGTCGTGAGAATTATTTTATTATGTTTTATTTTTTATTATTTTATTACTTCCCTTCTACGTGACTTTACCGAAAGAACCAAGAAGAAGTGTCCAAAAGGCGGAAGAAACGTCGAAAGGGATGATAATTGAGAGAAAGACCGGCACCGAGGGAGTTTGCAAGATGGTTCCGGACAATCTAGATTTGAAGCTTTCGTGACTGCAGGAATCCATACTCTTTGGTTCTTTCGGTAAAGTCACGTAGGTAGAAAATAAAATAAATCACGACGTTTCGGGCGCAACACAAGCGTCCGTCATCAGGTGGGAAAAGAGCTTTCTAGCTCATCGGATTCCTCCAGTACTAATAAAGACTCTGACTTGGATTTCTTCTCATTCCCTCTATCCCCAATTCCAATCCGGGTTCGCCCTCTCCGTTCCACCTAAACGAAGAACACAAACGTCAATCATCAGGTGGGAATGACGGACGCTTGTGTTGCGCCCGAAACGTCGTGATTTATTTTATTTTATACCTACGTGACTTTACCGAAAGAACCAAAGAGTTCTAGATTTGAAGCTTTCGTGACTGCAAGGATTCATACTCTTAGGTTTTTTCGGTAAAGTCACGTAGGTAAAAATAAATAATAATAAGAAAGTGCTTTATATTAAAAAAAAAATCTATTATTTCTATTATTTTTTATTTTATTATTATTTATTTTTACCTACGTGACTTTACCGAAAAAACCTAAGAGTATGAACCAAAGCGTATGGTTCTGGACATTGAGTAGGGCCGTTTAGGTGGAACGGAGAGAGCGAAACCCGGATTGGAATTGGGAATAGATGGAATGAAAAGGAATCCAAGTCAGAGTCTTGATTAATACTGCAGGAGGAATCCGATGAGCTAGAAAGCTCTTTTGCACAGATGCCCAGTCGGGGCGGGTCAGAACGGTACAACAACAAACGATGCAGAAAAGACGATAGCAGTGCAAAGTAGAGAAAATGTAAGCACATCACAAAACAATATCTACTAATTCATAATTTTTATTGTATTTTACCATTAATGTGGAGTGCGAGCCGGTCATCACGAAAGACGTTCCAAATTTTTTTTTTAAAGATAACGAAGGGAGGTGAATTGGTGGCTGGAGATGAGGTAACAGCGGGGAGAGGGGGAGATGAAGGGAACGGGAGAGGGGATCGTGGGGATGAGAGGGGACCTTGGCAGGAGGGGGAGGAGGGAGCTGCGGATGAAGGGAGCTCTGTGTGACTTGAACAGTGGAAAGAATCAGAATCAGAATCCGAAAAAACCAATGAGTAGCATTTCTGCAGTCACGAAAGCTTCAATTCTCGATTAATCAGAATCTGCATTTATCCTGGAGAAATCCGATGAGCTATGAAGCTCTTCCCCCCCCCCCCCAACAGATGTCCAATCCTTACCTGTCTCCACGTGTTGTTGAGATTTCCCGCTACAGCTGTACCGGTTATGCAAATCGTCAGTCTACTACCTGCTCAGGTGGGCATTGAGCCAGCGTGCAATTCTTCTCTACAGCCCCGAGGCAGTTGTGGAAATTCCACATTCCTTTGGGTGGGCGCGAGTCCATCTACAGGACGACTGCTGTTGACTTTATACCCTTAAAATGGAACTCGTGATTACTGTAATAAATGAGTATATTGTCTGGGAGAGTATTGGTCATCTTCGTTAAGTCAACCCACCCCCTATCTTTACAACAACAAAACACATTTTTTCACAGTTGAACACGTAGGCTTTCGCGACCAATTTCATCCATAACAGAGGTTTAAAACATATATATTTACGCGATCTGGCCCAAACAAAAAAAAACCCTCTATTATGAACATACTTTACACTTGACTCAAAGCTTTCGTGGTTAGTGTGGCCAAACAAGCCACCCATCCCGTGATCGTGTGGATGCAGTGGAAGGACACGAAGGGGTGCAGTGGTGGTGGTGGTGCTTGAAATTCCAACTTCTGGAAGATTCACCTGAGAGCGGTAGACGTCTACCGGAGATACAACAACAACAACCCCCACCACCAACCAACCACCACAACGTCAACATCTTCCGGTGGCGGAAGAGCCCGCCCACCTCTCCCTCCCCTCCTGGCCCGGCTTTGCAAGTGGAAAATTCCTATAGGGGGTACGGGTGGGTGGGTTGGGGTGCGGGTGGGTGGGTGGTGGGTGGGACTAAGGGTTGGGTGGTGGGGGGTGGGGTGAGGCCACTCGTATTTAAAGGGGCAGCGTCACCTCGTGGTCGATTCGTATGTAGGGTTCTGTGTCTATCTCGGTTGCTGGCACCAAAGCGCTCTTCCCACTCTTCAACCTCCCTTCATCTTTACCTTCCTCTGCCGTTACCTGCGTTTACCTGCCCCCTCCATGCCAGCCAGCCAGCAACCCTCCATTCCCCAGCCAGGTTAAGAACCCAAGCCGTAACAGCATTAACACGGTAAGCTAAGCGAACAAGAAGCACACACGCACACGTGTGTATGTGTGTGTGTGTACGTGCGCTTTATGGGCTATGTAACTGAGCAAACAGGTAGCATCGTGTCCGTTGCTGAATGGGAAATGATGTGAAAACGTTGTTTTACAAAGTGACCGAATGAATGACGACAATCGTGGGTCAATTGAATGAGTGTGATTCTTGAAATAATTGCAATTTAATGCGGATTAACTTGACTTTGCTTCGTTTTTTTTTCGTATAAATTACATTTTAAAACTGAATAATTGCATATCGTTAGCATTGATGTGCACACTCGCATACATCTGCAGTTACTATTGCTAATAACATAAAATTGCATTTATCAGTAACCGATACTGAATGCATTGTAATTGCATACGATCGTCTAATTGCACGGGATATATTTAGACTGTAATTGTGTACCATCTGCTACTCGTTAATAATAACAATAATGACATTTGGGGATAATTACAGGAAGGACTGCTTCTGCGTTGCCGTGTTCCACAAAGCCGCGTCCTGCATAAGCAACTCCATTGTTTTGAGTTTCGTGCGTATCGTTCGTTCTATTTGCCGTCTTTCGTTGGACGAAAGGGTGTTTAGACTCAAGTTCACACGGTGTGTCATTGTACACGTGCACGTACACACACACAATTTTTTTTTGTAACGTGCAAATAACATTTGCAGGGCCCCCCCACCAATGGCCAAGAGCATTGTTCATAATTCTCCCGGTGATAATTAGCGCAATGTCTAAAATCGATTTCATTTTAATCGCTTGTGTGGGGGGGTGGTGGGGGTGGAAATCGTGATTCGTGTTTCAATATTGGCCAAGAGAACATTCCAGAATGCGCCCCTGCACTGTGTGGGTTGGCTGTGTATTGTGGCCGTGGTTTGTATGAGGTGGGAGGGGTTTACACACAATAACAATGTGAGCGAACGCTTTCAAATTATTGCACGAAATGACCTGTTTGAAGAAAAGAAGAAAAAAACTGTTTTGAAATCGGATAATTGTTTTTTTACCCTTTTATCTGGCAATTGGCAACAAAACTGACACCTTTTTTTTTACAAGGAATCATGTTTGCATAGACCACAATACCTGCAGTCATAATGAAAACAAAAAACACAACTCTGATAATGTATGCACTGTCCTTGAAGTTGATTGGTCCACACCCGAGACAGCTTTCCTTAGAGCCTAGTCTCACGTGGGTTGGACCAGATGACGCCAATGGTGTTTTGAAATCGTTCATCAATTGGGAATCGTTTGTTCCAGGACGAAGCTGTTTACAACATTTCCCATCATCCATTGCTCGCTGCGTTATATTCACCACTCGCGCATTGACCAGGGTGGTGAAGTATGGTCACAAACCTGGAATTGCGTGATTGGTGGTGGTTGGCAGAGGGTGCAAGACCCTCGTCCCCAACAGCGGTTTCAACAAAAGGGCTGCACCCTGCATTGTTGTTGTTGCGTCAGTTGTCTTAGGGGTTTGTTTTACTTGGCAGACCCGTCCTGAAAAAGAACAGAAACCACGCGCAAAAAATAACGAGATGCGCGAGACTGAACAATGTCCGTGTGACATCCTCAACTTGAGTTTTTTTCTTGCATTTTAATGCAAACGCCGGGGGAGAGGTGGGAAGAGCCCCCCCCCCCCCCCCACTTTAAATGATTTCTGGATGGCTGTTTTCAGATTTGTTATTTTCATCGATGCAAAATTGTAAACATAAAAAAGTAGTTTTTTCATTTTATATGCGTTTAATATATTTTTTTTCAAATAGATATTTATATAAAATCTACTTTTTAAAAATGTTTAAGCGAGATTCTTCACGACCCCCAAAGAAAAAGATCTCCCGTTATAGCCTCGTCACACTATTGGGGAAAGTTAGCGAGCACCTAATAAAATCCTGCACCAGCTACTCATTTGAGGCCGAGTCGACCTAGAAGGCAAGCCCAGGACCGGCTCTGACAATCGTCGCTGGGTTTATTGGCCTCGAGCGGCAATCTCGGGTCGCCGGGTTCGTTGCGCAGTGTGCACCTTCACTCTCCCAACATCGCCACACCCGCCGCGTCTGTTCGCTACATTGTTAGATTCGAGAGGTGGTCCACCTCCCTCCCTGCTGTTGTTGCTGAGGACGGCGAGGGCTGTTCTGAAAAGCGTCCGATCCGTCTGTCTCGACGCCGCCGCCGCCGCAAATGTCACCACCCCGTCGTGATGGCGTTAATCCCCCTCGATGGAAAATTCGAGAAACCCAATTGACGGAGCGGGCGATTTTTGAAGAGTTCGCGAGAGCGATGGGCTTGGCCCGAGGCTTGCACTTGTCGTCTGCTCGGGACGTCCGCGTATAATGTTTTTTTTTAAAAAATCATCCCTTTTAATTTCGGCCAGAATTTAGCAGGAGTAAATACATTCACGATGGCGCCATCCCTGCACAAATGTGCGGTGGAAAATAAATGGCGTGTGTCCCACTGCCCCATATGCGATGGCTGCCAGCCACTGCAGACCGAAACAAATGTTGGCCTTGACTTTGATGAGCAATACCAAAATTCGCCACTGGTGCTTGCCCCCCCCCCCCCCGCTTTTACCATGCCCTCTTTTAGCAATCGCAATCACAATCCTTGGTGTTGCGTGGCCAACCAAACGATTCAATTCGGCAAGTAGCGACGGGGGGCTTGTGCCACGAAAGGGTGGCAGAAGGTGGCGGTCCTGAGTGGCTTCGGAACACCGGGACGCAAGCAGCAGCAGCAGCAGCAACGATTGCAGGAGGAGGCGCGTTGCCCTGCTGCTCGGCAGCGAGCTGCAGAACTCGCGGGCGCAGAGCTTGGCCAGACTGTGGGCTGGGTGCAATCGCACACGCACGCGGAAAGGAGTAAATCTTGCGGAAGAAGTCCGCTACGAGCGTGTAAACACGGTACGGCCGTCGCCCACACGACAAAGGCGTCTCGGGATGCTGAAGGACTTTGTTTAGGACATTCTGCCTGCCTTGGGGTCTTGTATGGGGGGCAGTTTTTGTAAGAAGTTAAACACTAAAAAAAACCGACATTATGGACTTGTAAGAAGTAGAGCCAATTGATATTTTTTTCCTTTACCCCAGTGCATGGTGTGGCAGTCAGCCAGCCGACGACTCCGCGACCACGGAGGCTGTCCAGCTTTCTTGGTTTTTATTGTAGGTTTCTTTTTTTTGCTAAGGTGGTGCAGAGATTTGTGTCCACTCCAAGAATCCCATGAAAACAAAACCGGACTGATGCGAAGCATTCGAGTTGCGCGACAGCGTACAGCTGGGCCGGATGGTTCAGGAGTCGGACGCTGCGCTGGTAACACTGAAATCCTGGTTCTGGGTTTCATCCATCCCAGATCCCTCTCAAGTGCAGTGAGTTGATGGTCCAATTCTTTTGATTTGCCAGAAATTCCCACTTTTTTTTTTTTAAGAGGTCGATTTCATTTGGCATTTGACGATCATCTCGATAGCGAGGATGCGTGAAAAGGTGCGTGGTGCCACTTTAGGAATGCCACGAGCAGGTTTGTACGTAGGTACGGATGTTGAACTTCTTTCGCACCGTACGTAGCCAACTGTGCTAATCGGAGGTGCGGGGGAAGAACTACAAACTGAACACCAACCGGTTCTAAAGAAGTTAGTTTTCAATCTAGATTTAAAAGTGCGTAGCTCCCAGCGGCTTCCTAATATCAGAAGGAAGAGCGTTCCAGACGGCCGCAGAAACGCGTCTGCAAGCGACCGTCTTTTTTCGATGGCGGAGCCAAAAGCTGCTGCCGCTGCTGCGAGGGATGACCAGAGTTCGCGTGATGATGTTTTATACTCTTTGACGAGATCAGCGAGGCTTTGTGGTTCATTTGTGGCAAACACTTTGTGTCTGATGAGCTCAACCAGAAGTCAATGCAGCTCGGCAAGCACTGGACGGGCACGGTCCGATCCTGCAGGTGTTTGACACTTCCGTTGATGGGCCTCTCAGTCGGGCTGGGGCCACGCCTTGCTGCGAGAGGTCCGAATTGACATGTCTTTGTCTCACGACGTGACGCTGATGAACACAATTTGAATAAAATGACAGGGGAAAGGCGAAACAAACCAGAACATATATTTTTACGCTTTCCAACCAAGGTTTAAACAAAGGTTTAAAACATCGGCTCTGTCCATAAATCTGTCCGGCCTTTAACGTTGAGGGTGCTATAACTCTCGTCAATTTTGATCCAATTTGAAAGGAAACTGTAGAATGAAGTCGTATCGCTCTTCGCGTCTCTACTTAATAATTCAGAACCGGACAAATTAATCAAAGCGTTCCCCAAATAATACAAGTGCATTTTTGTCCTGACGGCTACCTGTCCGCCTCCCAGTAGCGCCAGTGGACACTCTTGGATGACGGTAATCTCTGCCACGCCGGATTCTCTTCGCGACAGAGGTCGCAAACGGGTTTTGATTCCTTACCCGTACCCGTACCCGGCCGCACCAGGGTCGCAAACGGGTACCCGTACCCGGCCGTACCTGTACCCTACCCGTACCCGGCCGTACCCTACCCGTACCCGGCCGGGTACGGGTAGGGTACGGGTATCGTGTACCTGATTGCGACCTCTGGGATGAAGCCACGTTGCAGGCGCGGGTGGGTTGATTCTAGGAACTTGAATTGTGAGAAGAGGCAAGACGTTGGGAAATGAGTGACAAACGGTTACTCACCAGTGACTCACGGCCTACCCGTACCGTACCCGGCCGCACCAGGGTCGCGAACGGGTACCCGTACCCGGCCGGGTACGGGTAGCCGGGTATCGGGTAGGGTACGGGTATCGGGTACCCGGTTGCGACCTCTGCTTCGCGAGCCTTGCGCCGCGTGGCCGCTGGAACGGCTGTGAGTAGGTGGTGCGTGCCGTGCGTGTCTGAGAGCGCCGAGGAGGCTCGGGACTGTCACATTTGTCATCGTCTCATCGGCCGCGCGATAACAAAACAACCCACTCCGGCGGTCACCTGACCGTGACGCGGGATCCTCGCTTTGATGGCGAGTTTTGTGGTGTCATAATATTTATGTTTAAATAAATAATAATAGTAAACCGCACGCGTGCATTCTTGGACCGCTCTCCACCACGCGGCTTATCTTCGTCATGTGTGTATATATAATTAGTATTTAATTGCCAGTTTGGAACGGGTGAAAAACACGTTGGTGTGTTTTGGCACAGGTTCTTTTCCAGTGGCCCATTCGTTTTGGATTGTGTTAAGGAGATGGATAGACGGAGCTAAGCAACGAAACGCTTTCAACTTTGGTTGGAAAGGGTTAATGCAAATACATACGTCCTAGGTTAGTGATGCATCCTGCACAACCGCTTGTGCAAAAAATAAAACCCCTAAGTGTGAGTCGTGCGTCGATGTGGATGGCTGTGCAAAGGTGATGATGCTTCCAGTCGATATCGGAGACCCACGTGGCTCCTGACACAGCCAGGGTGTGCGTTGTTCCACCTGCCCACCGCTCCCATTTCCGACTATCTCCGACCTTTGCCCGTAACTCCTCGTGGCTGCGGCCTGCAGCGCGTCCCTGGCAACACTAACAACTTGTCTTTCGATCTTTATTGCCAGCCACCTTCTCTAACTAACCACCTACGTGGCCATGCATCCACCCAGTCGCCCACCCACCCACCCTTTCGGCCAGCTACTTTCCCATCCAGCCACCTGCCCAGCCAATAAACCATCCACCCGCTTACCAACTTACCCAGGCAGCCATGTGCTCGCCCAGCCGTTTACCCAGCCAGCGACCTCAAGATGCCAGCATGGAGTGGCAGGCAGGAAATGGTGGATGGGATGAAGATGGAAGAGCGAGCAAGGGATCAGGGGGATGGAGAAAGGTTGAGTCTATAAAAATAGGCAGGAGGGCAAGAAACCGTTCTCACGGTGGTTGCCAAGTTGTGGGATAACTTTTGATGGCTACTCCCCCCTCCATCGGCCGCAAGTAACTCTGGAGAACAGGCCTCTGCAGGTCAGGGGTGTGGTTGATTTGCTTTCGGAGCCCCTAGGTTCCTCACCCTGGGACAGGACGTGCCGCTCGCCATGCTTGTAATAATGACGCCGGTGCAGGGGGGACAAGGTGGCGCGATGCACGGGCAGGTCGCGCAAAACTACCGCCCGAGGCTTTGCGTTCGCACGGGTAATGGGGTACAACTGCGTGTCGCGACAGGCGCCGGGGCCTGCGTGTGCCAAGGTGTGCAATATTCGCCGGCCGAAAATGTTTCCCCCCCCCCCTCCCCCCAACCTTATTTGATCAGATCGGCTGGTTCGTGTGCGGTGGGGGTAAAGCGTGGGTACTCCCTCGTCTTCCCGAGAAGCGGGAAGATCCTTCTGCCACTTCCTCGTGGCACGCAAGGTCCTCGTCGCTACTTGCCGAACTGAAGCGTTTGGTTGGCCACGCCAACACCCGAGGATTTGCCAAAGAGGGCAGCGTCAATTGGGTATTTTGGTGAGAAGTGTGCAGCACGAGTGGATAATTCTGGTATCGCTCATCAAAGTGAAGGCCAACATTTGTTTCCATCCGGCCAGCGTGGGTCGAGTAGGCGACGGTGCCCTTGAAGTGGGGCTGCTCGCTCTCCGGAGCTCCCCTATAGTGCCAGCAGTGATGGCGAGCAATTGCAGGGGTGCCGCGTCTTTTACCCCCCCCCCCCTCTCTTTTTAAATCCTTTATATTAAGTTCGCGTGCTTGCTTGCTTGCTTAGGACCGTGCAAATCTTTCGGTCGTTTTTTAACCCACTTCTCGTGATCCAATCGAGCTGACATTTTGCACACAGACTCGTTGTGCGTGACAATTAATGTTCGTGAAAATGTTTTTCCAAAATTTTACACTTTTTAGGACAAAAATATATTTAATTACCAATTGCTTAATGGTGCAATGCAATCATCTGACCCATAGGTGGCAGCCATCTCAAGCCAGAGGACGAGAGAACTCTAGCCGCCACGCACATAAAGGATTTATAGTGAAAAACTTTGTTTTTACAGGTTATACTTATTTTTGCTTTATTTCCCACCTCGCGATCCGTCAATGGCCGCTTGCGTCGTGTGTTCGTCTCGCTTTGGACGGCTTGCGCATCTTGTGAATGCGACGCTTTTTTTTGCCCCGAACGAATAAAAGCAAACATTTTTTTAAGTGATTTGTTCTGTCGTTTTTGTTGTTTGTTTTAGGACAGAGGAAGATTTGATATTGTGATCCTCGCCCTAAACACGCACGCATGTGTAAGCACACACGGGCAGATGCACGCACGCACAAGCCCAATGAGTCTTTACCCGGTCCACTGATTTCCAGGGGGATGAATTGCAGCACGGGTCTGTAGAGTTCGTTGGTACCAAGGTGGAGTGATATTCAGCGGCAGGGCTGCACACCCCCCCCCCCCGCCTTCCCAGTCGTGGTGGATTTTGGGAGAGATTTAGGGGGTGTTGGTGTGGAGTAGGGTGAGATTTTCTTGGTCCTTTACTGGGCCTGGGTAAAAGTGGTGGTGGGGTTGGTGATTGCAGGAAAGCAGACTTAATAGAAAGCGAGAAAGTTGATTGTGCTTTTGTTTACTTTTTTTTTCGTTAGTATTCACAACTATTCAAAGAAATGGAATTTTTAAATATCGTGCGTTTTATGTTCCAGCTAATTTAGCTTATTTATTGCCATGCGTAAATATAACACGTATTTATATTTGTATATATTTTTCTGAAGCACGACTTTTATTTAATTTGTTTTCAACTCCATAAAGGGACACAACCATTCGCCCACACATTCCACGAGCACAACAGAGGGGCCGAGAGTGAGAGACTGAGAAAGAGACGAGGGGGAGATCGAGAAAGAGAGAGAGAGAGATACGCAGACCGAGAGAATACGCAGGTAGAGAGAGACCGAGAGAGACAGAGACAAGCGGACTAAGAACTGTAGACCCAACAAGCCAGGAGCTCGGGCGCTTGCCAGGAGGGCCGAGTTTGCGTGCGGCAGTGCGGCCGCTGGGGCCCTGCACGTGGCAATGGCCGAGCGACTGGAAGGCGTGGACATCGCCATCGTGGGCATCTACTTCGTGCTGGTGTTCGCGGTCGGCGTGTGGGCCATGCGGCGCTCCAACCGGGCCAGCGTGAGCGGCTACTTCCTGGCGGGGCGTGCCATGGCCTGGCTGCCCGTGGGCGCGTCGCTCTTTGTCAGCAACATCGGCAGCGAGCACTTCATCGGCCTGGCGGGCTCGGGCGCGGCCAGCGGCCTCGCCGTCGCCGCCTGGGAGCTGAACGCCCTGCTGCTGCTGCAGCTCCTCAGCTGGGTCTTCTACCCCGTCTACCTGGCCACAGGTGAGGGCGTGTGGGTGTGCGTGTGTGTGTGGGGAGCCAGAATTGGTTTGTGCCGAATGGAGAGCGGTAGTGTAGTGGTTAGCGCGCTGCACTACGGACCTGGCCACCCGAGTTCGATTCCCGCTCACGGCAAACACCAGTGACGATTATCTGAACCGGTCCTGGGCCTCCCCTAGGTCGACTCAGCCTCAAATGAGTACCTGGTGCGGTGTGTAAACATCGCCACTAGGGAGACAAAGGCGGTCGGGCGTGGTGCTGGCCACCCACCCCCTTGTGTACCGTTCCGGCCTTCATAGGTGCTCGCTAACAGCACTTGCCCCTACAGTCTGTTAAGGCTATACGGGGGGTCTTTGTTTTATCTTTATGGGGAGCCGGTAGCGTAGAGGGTTAACGCACCGCGCTACGGGATCCCGCCGAGCCGAGTTGGATTCCCGCTCACGGCTAACACCGGTGACCAATATCTGAGCCGGTCCTGGGTCTCCTCCCCTAGGTCAACTCGGCCTCAAATGAGTACCTGGTGAGGCGTGTTAACATCACCACTGGGGAGACGAAGGCGGTCCGGGCGTGGTGTTGGCCACCCACGCCCCTCGTGTGCCGTACCGGCCTTCATAGGTGCTCGCTAACAACACTTGCCCCAACAGTCTCTTAAAGGCTATATGGGGGATCTTTGGCTTTGTGTGTGCCCCCTGGGTTATCTCTTAACATCGCCACCTGCCTGTGTTTGACCCGGACAGTCTGGGAATTGGCATCTCTATTCGGGTGGCAAGAATTGGTTTGTAACCGAGACCTGGTACCGGTATCTTGTGTTGAACTTTTATTGCCGTAGACTGCACAGTTGTGATAATTAGACCTAGTGTTGACCTGTGGAAAAATGTCTGGGTTTTTTGGTCTGCAGTGGAAAAGGTGGCGGCAACCTCACCCACCCAGCCACCCAATGCTTTCAGTGCCCAAAGCCACCACTTTAAGGCCGCGCATCCAACCGCCAGCGCTCCGCCCCCCACTTCCCTAGGCCCCCTGCAACAGCCAATAGGGCGCCGCCGTGGCGAGATGTTAACTCCCTCTCCTGGTATGCAGGAGGTTGTGGATTCGATCCTGTCCCTGGGATCTGCTGTATATTTGGAGTTTGCGTGTTCTGCCCGTGCTCACGTGGATTTTCTCTGGGTCCTCTAGTTTTTTTTAATTCTCCAAACCACATTTAGAATCGACAGTGTTTCGATGATTTGGCTGCTATAAATTTCCACGCGGTAAGCCACTTCGTTGAGCTATCACTTGTGCGCCGGGTCGCTTAATAGAACAAAAAAAGAGCTGTAATGATCAGTGGGCCTTATTTAGTAAAATAACATAGTTTAGTTCTTAGTTCAGGCCCTGTTGAACTTGCACCACCTGCACATGAAAGGTTAGCCGCCGACACCGAAACCTGGTTCATTCATTTGTTTTGTTGATTTATTGATAGCGCGGAAAGCCGTCGCCGGAGCGCGCGGCTCGTAACATTACACGGCGCGAGGTAACGCGAACCGCACGCGCCGGCACTCCCGTGCTAGCGGCCACAACGCGAAACCACCTGAAATGAAAATAAATACAAATCCACAATGTCGTATAAAAACACGGTGACACATCGGCAGTGGCCTTTACTGGAGACCAGCAGATAGCGACGTGTCGCCGTCGCTGAAGAGGAAAAGCGTTTTTTCAATCCGTGCGGCAATCGCCTGCTGCCACGGATGGATCCAAAAAGTGGAAATTGAAATTTACAAACTCTGAAAAGTGAACAGAGTAGCGTGGAGAGGTTCTTTTGAAAACTGAATTGCATCGAAAGACTGAAGGAGGGGAACCGCATGCATCGGAGAACATACGCGGGGTAATGACATCTTCTGTTAGGAAAATTTAGCGGCCTGGGGAAGGATGATGCATCCACGGCTTGAAGAGACGATGGCTCGTGGTTGAGACCTGCCACAGAAAGATAGACTGAGAAGGGAAGACACCCGAGGAGGAGATGGAGCGATGAGATTGTCTCGTGTGCTGGAGCGAGATGGAATTCTTGCACCATTTGACCATGTTGGGGGGAGGATAGAGATGGAGACCACGTGAGGAGTCCATCTAGCAGTGGATTGATTATGGCTGATGATTGTGCAAAGAGCCTGTTGAGACTGAAAGTAAAATTTTCGGCGAAGCATGGGCCCTAAAATGTACACGAATTTGCGATCAAACAAATATAGTAGAGAAATACACATGTAATTGAACATTTTATTAGGGAACAGATTTAAGAATTCCGTAAAAAAAATGTTTTTTTATGACGGGTGGATTCAAATAAGATACCAATTCATCGTATTCTCCAGACGCTCGGAAGAGTAAGATGCACCCCAAACGTTTGCCCCGTGTCAATCAAGTTATATACCGAATCTGGTCTCATGCGCGCGCACGCACACACACACGTCGACCAGAATATGCACGCACCCGCCCCAACCTTTGCTTCAAATTAAATAAAAATAATAATTTTCACGTGATTTTGTGATTGCCAGGTCGCTTCTAAAAAAGAGCTCCATAGTTCAGTTGGCCTTACCTGATAACAGGCTGTGCATTAATTGTGTGTTGACCGACTCTGTGTTGCATTGCATTACATTTCCAAATTTTACTAAGTTTGTTTGTTTTCTTTGTTCTTTCGGTAAAGTCACGTAGAATGTTTTATTTTTATTATTTTATTATTTCCATTCTACGTGACTTTACCGAAAGAACCGAGAAGATGAATCCCTGCAGTCACGAAAGCTTTAAATCAAAATTTAAGTTTGTTTGATTAAGTGTGTTTTCTCTCTCTCTGTGTCCTTGTGTTGTCGTATTCCTTGCAGTCACGAAAGCTCCAAATATCTCATTGTCATGCTAATTTCTCTACCCCCCCCATCTCTCTCTCTGCCCCCCTCTCTCTCTATTTAAGGCCTCGACACAGAGGCGTTGTTTCTCTGTGTGCCTATGTGTGCGTCTCTCTTTGTGTGTCTCTGTGGTATCTCTCTGCTTATGTGTCTCCATGTCTGTGTTTTGTCTCTCTCTCAAATTTAGCAATCTTTGGAAGAACGTAATCAAGCAGGTAGGGTGTTGACTGTTATGTTAGCCGACTCTCTGTGTTGTATTGTATTTTATTTCTGAGTTTACTAGGTTTGTTTTCTCTTTCATTTATACCTGATGATGATTGCTTGTGTTGCAATCGAAACGTCGTATGCTATTATTTAATTTATTTTTGTTTCTACGTGACTTGACCGAAAGAACCAAAGAACATAAAAAATATGATAATTGTTGTTTTACCCTTTTATCTGGCAACAAAACTGACCCCTTTTTTTACAAGGAGTCATGTTTGCATTGACCACAATACCTGCGGTCGGAATGCAAACAAAAAACACAACTCTGATAATGTATGCACTGTCCTTGAAATTGATTGGTCCACACCCGAGACAGCTTTTCCTAGAGCCTAGTCTCACATGGGTTGGACCATATGACGCCAAAAGGCGCACCAGGTGTCAGTTTTGTTATCAGATAAAAGGTAAAAAAACCAATTATCATATTTTTCTACTGGAAAAGGAGGTTCCAATGGTGTAACATAAAAAATAGTTGAGTATATTTGGAGTTTGTGTGACTCTCTCCCCATGGCCACGTGGATTTTTCTCCGGGCCCTTTGATTATACCCTCCACATTTCGGTGAAAAAGGGTAACTTTCGATACTATCGGAACGAATTGAGCCTTTAATGTGTGTATTTCCCACACACGCTTAACGACCAAATCCCTAAACGACCGATTTCGTGGAACCAATTGTCCTGTCGTTAAAGAGGAGAGGGGGTTCTACTGTACCCCGTCCTTTGCAGGCGTGTGCACCATGCCCGGCTACCTGGCACGGCGCTTCGGCGGTCGGCGCCTACGCGTCTACCTGGTGGTGCTGTCGCTGCTGCTCTACGTGCTCACCAAGGTGTCGGTGGACCTGTACGCGGGCGCAGTCTTCATCCAGCAGTCCCTCGGCTGGGACCTCTACGTGTCCATCGTGTCGCTCATCGGCGCCACGGCGCTGCTCACGATGGCCGGGGGGCTCGCCGCCGTCATCTACACGGACACGCTGCAGGCGGCGCTCATGGTGGCCGGAGCGCTCACGCTCATGGTGCTTGGCCTCATCAAGGTTCGTAAACGTCCCGCGCGACGAGCGATGGCGGCTATGTTGTTAATTTTAAGTTTTCAAGTTTTTCATGTTTTATTTGTTAGGTATAGCCCTGTGAGCCATTCGGCTCTTGAATCGGATGCAAGCGCAACAAACAAAAAATTAACCCGTAAAAACAAAGTTTTTCACTAAATCCTTTATATGCGTGGCGGCTAGAGTCCTCTCGTCCTCTGGCTTGAGATGGCTGCCACCTATGGGTCAGATGATTGCCTGCCACCATTAAGCAATTGGTAATTAAATATAATGTATTTTTTCCTAAAAAGTGTAAAATTTTGGAGAAAAAAATTTCACGAAAATTAATTGTCACGCACAACGAGTCTGTGTGCAAAATGTCAGCTCGATTGGATAACGGGAAGTGGGTTAAAAAAACGACCGAAAGATGTGCACGGTCGTAAGCGCGCAAGCAAGCAAGCAAGTGAACTTAATATAAAGGGTTTAAAAAAACAAAAACATGAACAAGAAAACATCTTAAAGTGACTATGTGCAAACAGAAAATCCGAGAAAAGACAGCAAAATATTGCAGAAAAAGCACCGTACACCAACACTGTGTGCAAAACTCCCAGTGGGATGCAAGTCAAACAACAACAACCACAAGACAACTTAGATTAAGCCATCAGTCTAACTCTGTACTACAACAAACAAACATGGCCAAACCGAATTTTTTTTCAAAAATCACCAAAATAAAGCCATAAAAGCAATGAAACAGTAATCATAGGAACTGTGACCGAATTTTCACAATAAACGACGTAAACAACATGTATTACCAAACTCTGCAGCCATAGCTGGCTGCATGAGTCACTCCACAACAGCGCACGCAGGCCTAAACGTCTCGAGAAACGCTGACAGCGTTATGTTGCTGATTACGACACCGCCGTAGCTTTTGGTCTTGTTCATCGTGCTGCTGTGTGGACGCCGCTGCAATAATTGAGTCAACGGTGCGATCATACCCAGATGGCAGCCCCTACTGGCAGTCTCGTACCCTTGCTATCATACACACGGCCTACGAAGCCAGACAGCAGATGTGCCCAGACAGGCTGCCCCCTATCCCCTCTCGCTCCCGCCGCTCACCCCGGCTCACCGCTCAACCTGTCGCAACCCCTCACCCACTCAATCTTTAGCCCCTCACCTCTGCGCTCTCTCCCTCACCCCCTCTCCACCCACTCCTCTCGCCGCTCACCCTGCCTCACCACTCATCCCGGTCTCTCCCCCCCCCTTCCACCCCCCCCCCCCCCCCCGCCACTTGCGCTCGCCACGCAGGTGGGCGGCCTGCAGAATGTGTGGAGCGGCTACATGGAGGCCGTGCCCAACGTGACGGCCATCCGCGCCGCCTACAACCTATCGGCGGGCCCCTTGTGCGAGGAGGCCATCGCCCGGCCGCACGCCGACTCGCTCAAGGTGCTGCGGGGACCCTGGGACAGCGAGACGCCATGGCCCGGCTTCCTGCTGGGCCAGACGCCGGCCTCCATCTGGTACTGGTGCACGGACCAGGTGAGACTCTCCCAACGGTGTGCTCCTGCCAGAGGTCGCAACCGGGTACCCGATACCCGTACCTTACCCGATACCCGGCTACCCGTACCCGGCCAGGTACGGGTACCCGTTTGTGACCCTGGTGCGGCCGGGTATGGGTACGGGTAGGCCGCGAGTCACTGGTGAGTAACCGTTTGTCACTCATTTCGGGTAGGGAACGGGTACCCGTACCCGGCTGGGTACGGGTACCCATTTGTGACCCTGGTGCGGCCCGGTATGGGTACGGATAAGGAGTCAAAACCCGTTTGCGACCTCTGGCTCCTGCCGCCCCCCGCCCCCCTCCGCCCCCCCCTGTGCCACCGAGGGCCATGGTTAGAATCCGGGTTTCCGGATGGACCTCGCGATGCCTCTGTACAGTGTGAGAGGGCACTGATTGGATACTGATATCTCTATCCAGTGCGAGAGATCACTGTGATTGGCTACTGATGCCTCTCAATAGTGTGAGCAAGCAATGTGATTGGCTATTGAGTCTACGGCTCATGTAAGTGTAAGCCGGCCTATGGGTCTCTATGTGAGTTTACGGCTCACGTAAGTGTAAGCTGGTTTATTGGTCTCTATGCAAGTCTATGGTTCAAATAAGTGTAAGCTGGCCTATGGATCTCTGTGAGTTTACGGTTCACGTAAGTGTAAGCTGGTTTATTGGTCTCTATGCAAGTCTACGGTTCAAATAAGTGTAAGCTGGCCTATGGATCTCTGTGAGTTTACGGCTCATGTAAGTGTAAGCCGGCCTATGGGTCTCTATGCGAGTTTACAGCTCGTGAAAGTGTAAGCCGGCCTATGGGTCTCTATGCGAGTCTACAGTTCATGTGATCTTGGGGCCCTGCAGGTGATCGTGCAGCGCATGCTGGCGGCACGCGACCACTCCAACGCCAAGGGGGCGACGCTGCTCGCCGGCGCGCTCAAGATCCTGCCCATGTTCGCGATCGTGGTGCCGGGCATGATCGCGCGCATCCTCATGCCCGACGAGCTGGCGTGCGTGTCGCCCGAGCACTGCGCCGCCGTGTGCGGCAACCCGGCGGGCTGCTCCAACGTCGCGTACCCGCGTCTCGTGCTCGCCGTGATGCCCACGGGCCTGCGCGGCCTCATGATGGCCGTGATCGTGGCGGCGCTCATGAGCGACCTCGACTCGATCTTCAACAGCGCGAGCAGCATCTTCACTCTGGATATCTACAGGCACGCGCGCGGAGCGTCGCGCGTCTCCTCGCGGGAGCTCATGATCGTCGGCCGCCTCTGGGTCGTGGTGATGATGGCGGTGAGCGTGGCGTGGGTGCCCGTGGTGGTGTCCATGCAGGGCGGGCAGATGTTCCTCTACATCCAGGAGATGGCCGGGTACCTGACGCCGCCCGTCGCCGCGATATTCCTGCTCGGCGTCTTTTGGAAGCGCTGCAACGAGAAGGGCGCCTTCTGCGGCGGCCTCGTGGGCTCCACGCTGGGCTTCGCGCGCCTGCTGCTCGCGTTCATCTACCCGCCGCCCGACTGCACGCAGCCCCACGACGACCGCCCGTTCGTCGTCCGGAGCATCCACTACATGTACACGGCGGCTGCGCTCTTCTGGACCACTGTGGCGGTGGGCATCGTCGCCAGCCTGCTGTCCGACCCACCGTCCAGGGAGTGCGTGGCCAACACGACCTTCTGGACGTACTCGGACCCGCCGGCCTCCTCCTCGCCCTCCTCCTCCACCGCCGACGACGACGACGATTACGACGGCGACGGCAAGAAGCGCAAACGGGCGCTGGGCAACGGGGTCACGTGCGCCGAGACGCTCAAACTCGTGCGCAAGGGGGACGAGCGAGCGGCCGCTCCCACTTGCACCTCGGCGGACGACCGCGGCGGCGATGACGGAAGCCGGCCGCCGGTCGTCGTCGTCGTCGTGACGGAGAACGGCCGCCCCCAGCCGGCGCTGACACCCGACAGCGCCGCTGAGACCCCCGGCCACGGCGGCGCCGCGGCGGTGGACGAAGAGTGGCCGCTCGGCGGCGAGCGGTCGCGGCGGGCCGGCGGCGCCCGCGACGGCTCTGGCCGCCGCGAGAACGTGCGGAGGGGCCTCCTGAAGGCCGTCAACTGGTTGTGCGGCACGGGGAGGGACCCGGACGAGGCGGGCGGCGACGGCGCGCCGGGGAAGCCCTCGGTGGGGCTGCTCGGCGAGGATCTGGCCCAGAGGCTGCGGCTGCTGGAGGAGCGGCCGGTGGACAAGGCCGTGCTCAACGTGGGCCTTTGCCTCATCTGCTCGGTGGGGGTCTTCCTCTACGTCTACTTCTCGGTGTGACGATGCCGCTGCCGGCGTCGTTGCGCGCCGACTGAAGGCCGACAGACACCTCCCCGCCCCCCCGCCCGTCGTGAAATCCGCTGGTCCCCCGAGTCCTTCGCCCGCACCCCGATCCATCGCCCAGCCCGCCGCCACGTGGCACGCGCGATGAGCTTCTCCGTCGAAGATCGAGGGGAGGCGCGGACGCGTCGCGCCTGCCTGCCGGGAGGCTGGGGGAAGCTCCGTCGTGCTCCGAGGCTTTCGTAGCCCTGAGACTCTGCACTCGGCACCGAGTAGTATAAATGCGTTTGTTGCGAAGTGTTTTGTTTTGTTTAACTCGTTGAATTTCGGCGCCTAAGGATTTGTTGAAATGCACTTACGGGGGATCGCGCGCGTCAATTGGACCAAACTATTCCAATTTAACGTTGTTTTATTTGATGCTTTATTCTGGCGGAACAAGCACTTCGGTGCGGTGGAGAAGACCGGGCCCCTGCCATTGTAATGTGGAATCTTTCCAGCATTGGCAGATGGCCAATGACGATTACCACCACCCCCCCACCCCCTGCTTACTTGAGAAGGGAGCATTCTAACTTTTTGAAACAATTACGCGCGATAGGCATCAGCAGGCACACGGTGTCCTTGGTGATGTCCAACAGTGAGGGTCGGTGGTTCCTTCCGTTGGTCAAACTGCCGCAGGGCAATAATTGGTGCACAAGTGGCAGGATTCTCTGCAATGGCATGCGCTTCTGGTACCAAACAACCACTGTTCCTGCCCCTTAGAGGTTATAGATTTTTACACTGCACCCTTATAAACTACAAGCTATTTTTCTTTCAGAGGCGACCAGGCCACAAATGATAGCTCAACAAAGTGGCTTATCCTGTGGAAATTTATAGCAGCCAAATACTCTTTCAAAAAACGGGGGACCCGGAGAAAAATCCTCCACGACCACGGGGAGAACATGCAAACTTCAAATATACAGGCGGCAGGGTCAGGATCGAACCCACGACCTCCTGTATACCAGGCGAGGTATTAATATTTGGTCATCAGGGTGCCCCTGAATCTAACGAGGCTGATGACCCGTAGACATTCATCGGACCTTGTGATTTGCCGTTCCTGAGAGGTGAGAGCCCCATTTGAGATTCATCGTCCTGTGTGATTGATGTGCGTTCAACCGTATTGGAACCCATTGAGGGTGCATTCTCGCGTGGTTGATGTCCTGAAATGAACCAGGTGAGAGCCCCGTTGAGATACATTACACTGGTCAACACACTTTTTCTGGCATAAGGTATTCCAATGGTTTTAAGGTAATTTTGGGGTGCTGATTCCAAATCTGGCATCAGTTTTTGTCTATCACATCAGGTTTTTGACATATCAAATATTGCATTTTCAATAAAAACTGCAGAAGAAAAATATTAAATAAATGTGGATATCTACATAAAATTATATTACAAACACACTATCCTACAAATACAGCACCATATTTTAACACTAAAGCAGTCACTGACTCGGAACAACCTGCAATCATAAGTGACAGAGTTAATTTCGGGTAAAATCAATGAAAATGGGGTATGCCGATAGCATAAAATGAAATGTGATAGAGAAAATCTGAGATCAGATTTGGAATTAGCACCCTAAAATTAGTCTAATACAGCTGCAAAAGTCCAGGCCAGAATTTTTTGTTGTTGACCAGTGTTATCTCTTTGGCTTGATGTCAGAATCAGAATATTTATTTATACTGCAGGAGGAATCTCCGATCTTTCGCAGATGTCCAGTCGGGGCGTGCGGTCGGAACGTTACAGCAACAAACGGTTACAAAAACACGACGGGTGATATTCAAGTTTAGATACCGTTATCTCTCGTGATGTCCTTGCTTTCACCAGGTGATCGTCCATCTAGGTACACTATCACCTGTAATCATGGTCATTTATGTAACCATTTAAAGACAGAATCCTCCCCACCCCGTATAGTCTGTAACAGATTGTCGGGGCTAGTGCTGTTTGCGAACACCTATGAAGGCTGGCACTGCACACGAGGGGGTGGGTGGCCAGCACCACGCCTTTATCTCCCCAGTGGCGATGTTTACACATCACACCAGGCTGAGTCGACCTAGGGCAGGGGTGGGGAACGTCCGGCCCGCGGGCCGTATGAGGCCCGCGAAATCATTTGATCTGGCCCTGCCAAGGCAACCGCACCACTCGAAATTCAATCAATCTAGGAGCTTTTTTCACAGCAACATAAATTTAATTTTGTATGGCCCGCGAATGATGTTATAAATATCCAAATGGCCCTTGGCAGAAAAAAGGTTCCCCACCCCTGACCTAGGGGATGAGGCCCAGGGACCGGTTCGGATAATGGTCACTAGTGTTGGCCACGAGCGGGAATCGAACTCGGGCCGCCGGGTTCGTAGCGCAGCGCGCTAATCGCTACAGCCACCGCACATGCGTTGTCTCCTGCGATTTGCATACTTAAATCAACCAGGCAATCGCCCGATGAGAATAAGACGCGTTAACATATCATCCGCAAATATCTGGTAACGTGGGGGTTGCAAGCATGCGATTGTTAGTGTTAGAATTTTCACATGCAATCATGTGATCGTTGGCCATTCCTGGCTTTTTCACTCGGCACATAGAAACCGGTGTTGCCAGATCAGAGATTCTTCCTCTTAGGATTTTAACATAGCAACCACGAAAGCCAGGTTTATAAACTCGTGAAAAACTAGAGGGGGGTAGGGGGTTAAGAACAGTAGGGTTTCACGCCCGCCCCCCCAACAGTCTACCTATAATTCAGAATCGATATTTGGATTACGGTAATCCCACGTATTGATCCGACAAAATGTTGCGTCGTAAAGTAACCCCCTCCACTACCACCCGACACAGCCAAACGCGTGAAATAGCCACGTGCAAAACGCATTTCATGATTCTAGATTTGAAGCTTTCGTGACTGCAAGGATTCATACTCTTAGGTTGTTTCGGTAAAGTCACGTAGGTAAAAAATAAAATAAAAATTAATAGAAGTAACAATAATTTGTGATTTATTATTTTATTTCTATTATCACTTCTATTAATTTTATTTTTTACCTACGTGACTTTACCGAAAAAACCTAAGAGGTACGCATTTCGTGAGCCAAGTTATTTTTGTTTTCTTCAGCACGCTGGTGGCTCGCAGCCACCGGTGAACTGTAGAAAACAAGATGTCATGACCATTTTAAATTGCCACCTTTTAAACGCATGTACACGTGTGACGACAGGTCTGGTGGTGGTGGGAAGGTCTTGTGACATATTTGGTCGGATCATAGGAGAGGGGGGGGGGTCCTGAACCAGACGTCCATGAAAAAAAATCGTAATACTGTACTGGCTGTTGCAAACCTCAGTGTTAGAGCGTTGTCTCCGCGTGTTTGTGCGTGCGTGTATGTCCACAATCTGAAGACCTCTACCGATCTCGTCTAGGAGCACAAACCATCATCGCGCGAACTCCGCTCATCCTCGCAGCAGTGGCGCGCTTTCAGACGCGCTTCTGTGGCCGTCTGGAACGCTCTTCCTTCCGATATTAGGAAGCCACTGGAGCTATGCACTTTCAAATTGTATAGATAGACACATTTTTTTTGAATTTATTTTTGTGTTTAGCTCGTTGTCCTTCCCTCCCGCACCTCCGATCAGCACAGTTGGCAACGCACCGTGCAAAAGAAGTTAAACATACGTACATTCTTTTCGATTTAAAGCTTTCGTGACTGCAGGGATTCATCTTCTTGGTTCTTTCGGTAAAGTCACGTAGAAGGGAAATAATAAAATAATAAAAATAAAACAAAATAATTCTCACGACGTTTCGGCCACAACGCAAGTAGCCGTCCTCAGGTAGAGAACAGGTCTGTCGCTCTTCGCCCCTCCATCCCAGCTTAAATAGTCGCTCCAAGCCTGGGGCTTGTCATTCAGACTCTGTCTCCTCGACAGACCTGTTCTCTACCTGAGGACGGCTACTTGCGTTGTGGCCGAAACGTCGTGAGAATTATTTTATTATGTTTTAATGTTATTATTTTATTATTTCCATTCTACGTGACTTCACCGAAAGAACCAATAAGACGTACATTATTTGTTGGCCATGCAACCCCCATGACTTGATAATGGCACGAGCCGGCCTGCGGCCAGCAGCAGACTGACAAGGCGCTGCCAACTTATTTATACTGTCTAAAGTGTTTGACTCTACGCCAAATCCATTGTGGGCTCTGCAGAGGTCGTAAACGGGTTTTGATTCCTTACCCGTACCCGGCCGCACCAGGGTCGCAAACGGGTACCCGTACCCGGCCGTACCCGTACCCTACCCGATACCCGGCCGGGTACGGGTAGGGTACGGGTATCGGGTACCCGATTGCGACCTCTGGGATGAAGCCATGTTGCAGGCGCGGGTGGGTTGATTCTAGGAACTTGAATTGTGAGAAGAGACAAGACGTTGGGAAATGAGTGACAAACGGTTACTCACCAGTGACTGGCGACCTACCTGTACCCGTACCCGGCTGGGTACGGGTAGCCGGGTATCGGGTAGGGTACGGGTATCGGGTACCCGATTGCGACCTCTGGGGCTCTGTTCGTCCGTGTGCAGAGTAGTCGTGTTGCTATCGGGAGACTTGCCCTCTAGGAAGGCGGCAGCCACGCTGACCGATGAGCTTCCCCCTCCAGCTGCGCGGCCTACGAACTCGCCAGGCGCCACGGTGGCTGGGAGATGTTAACTGCCTCGCCTGGTATACAGGAGGTCGTGAGTTCGATCCCGACCCTGTGACGCCTGTTGTATATTTGGTGTTTGCTTGTCTCTCTCTCTCTCCCCGTGGTCGCGTGGATTTTTCTCCGGGTCCTCCTGTTTCTCCCTCCGCATCTAGAAACATGCGCTGAGAGTATTTGGCTGCTATAAATTTCCACGCGATGAGCCACATCGTTGACCTATCGTATTTGTGATAGCCAGTGTGGCCTTACAGCTGGTATATATATATATTTTGTTTGTTTAAATAGTTTAGTTTACTGCGCGACTGCTGCCGGTCTAGAGTCACTGTTTGAAATCCCGAATGAAGATGAATGCTTTGGCTTCCCGGTGGTTGTTTCGTTTAACGAGGTGAGAGAGAACGCGGGAGTTCTAGATTTCAAGCTTTCGTGACTGCAAGGATTCATACTCTTAGGTTTTTTCGGTGAAGTCACGTAGGAAAAAAAAATAAAATATAAATAATAATAGAAATAATTTTTATTTCTATTATTATTTCTATTATTTTTATTATTTATTTTTACCTACGTGACTTTACCGAAAAAACCTAAGAGTATAGAACGCGCGAGGCCAGGATAGAAGTCTCCTTTACAAGAGTGAACCGGGTCATGAGTCTGCTGCCAATAGGCGGGCGGTGATTGCCGTTGCTGCTGCTGTGTATAGTCCCAATTGAGTAGTTTTCGTAATATAGTGATTTTTTTGTAATTTTCGGACGTGGAAAATTTGGACCCCTGGCAAACGTGGTATTTGCAAATGACGTCACGGGATCTTTAACGTCTGCTGCGAGTGAAGCAGACGGTATGGCGTAGTATTATTATTGCTCGGACCACATTAATAACCAGGCGGCCGCTGGATTCGAACCACGAACCCTCTGAAACGAGCAGCAAACGCGCTACCACGTGTACGCATGGGTGATGCGTACGCGTGGTTTTTCTTCCTTTGTTTAAGTCTGTAGGAATGTATTATCCGCATCGGGCAGCACTGGTGTAACGATTGCATCTTCATTTCCCCACGTGCAATCCTTGGGAAAATTCACATGCTGGACTTTAATACCACACACTGGGTTTCCAATTAGATTTAAAACTCAAATAATTATTGGATCTTTTTCCTCGAAAAAATGCTGTTTAATTGTTCATAATCGCTGTTTATTTGAGTTAAAAGGGCTTGGAAAAGCAGTTAAATGCATCCCGATCAATATACGCATGTGGATACATCACCATAGCAAATACTCGCACGCACATATTTTTTTAAATACATTTCAGACAGATGGAGTGATTTCTTTCAATCATACTTCACCGTGACGGTCACTTCGGGGTACGGGTGAAGCGGACAGCCTCGGCGCTTGCTTCACGCACCGTATCCGCCACCGATGTGTTAGCCGTGGCCGGGAATTGATGGCGGGGGTCACTGGGTTCAGGATTTGAGTGCACTGCGTTCGAAGGGAAGCGCAGTGGGAACGAGCGACTCGATGCTTGGCGCTCATTCACGATGTGCAAACATCCCGATGGCGGCGTGCAAGCTACCGGACCAGCCCCAACAAAGACAAAGATCCCCTGTGTAGCCTTTACGGACTATTAGGGCAGGTGCTGTCCGCGAGCACCGAAATGAAGGCCGGCACGGCACACGAGAGGGCCGGGTGGCCAACGCCACACCCGCTCACCTTGATCTCCCCATTTGGTGATGTTTACACACCACACCAGGTACCCATTTTGAGGCCGAGTCGACCTAGGGGAGGAGACCCAGGACCGGTTAAAATATTCGCCGCTGTTATTTGTCGTGAGCGGGAAATCGGGTCGCCAGTTTCGTAGTGCAGCGCGCTAACCATCATGCCACCGTTCCCCCACCCCCCACCCTACCCCACCACACACACACACACACGCGTGGTGTACTGTGCACGAACGCCACACTGCCACGTGTCCCACCACCATCGGGGAAGGGTGCCGGCTCTCAGTTCGTGAACTGCGCTGGGTGTGGACACGGCAGGCGTTCTCAAGGCGGCCTTGCCAGGCGGACCGAGTCTGCAAGTCGCAAAGCACGTGGGCTCCTCGGTTCTTTGTCACAAGGGGACTGCTGATGTTGCTTTTGCTGCTGCTGCTGCTGCTGCTGATGTCTCGGATCACTCGGGTCGCTTCCCGAAATCATGTGTGGTGTCACAGGGTCGACGGCATCCCTTGCCGAGTTGAACTTCAGAACAGTGGGGGTTTTTTTGTAAAAAAAAAAAAGTGGAAATTAAAAATTGCCAATATTTTGGATTCGGATAGCCAAATGTACCTCCCGTTACACGTTTAAAAGCGGTGTTTCGGATTGCTTGCGTTGGAAGGTTTGGCGAAGGGCACGGAGAAAGGACGGAGGCCACAGGAGTCGCGTCCGTCACTAAGTACAGGGTAACAACGATCCGGACCCCGCTGCTGATCCTGGAAGACGCGCGGGACCGGCCCAGCTTCCGAGGGGTCATAGAAACGCAACGCACACTGCTCACGAGTCGCGCCAATTCAAATGACTTATCGTGGCTTTTGGAAAACATTCCGAGACGTGGTGGTGGTGGTGGTGGTGTTTTTTGTGCAAGTAAAAAAAAACACAACCGTAATTATCCCGTCGTGAATTATTCATCGCGTTCTGTTGCAACCCCGTTCATTTTTTACAGCAATCCTCCGGCTTCCCGCTGCCTCGCATAACTTGGAACAGCACGGGGCGAATGCCCCCCCGGGGGTCAACCACAAAAGACCGGTGGCAGCTGGTGGCAAAAAAATTAACGAATGGCCCAGCCGCTGGTCAACCCGCCGCCAGCGGTCACCCTCTTTGAGAATTTCATTTTTTTCCGACGACTCGCAAACATTGGGCCCTCCCGTGTGCCCAGATGCGTCGGGCTTTTCCCCTCCACCGCGACGCGCTGGCAAGGCAGGGCACGCGCCACGGCGATTAATACAGCGATGAAGATATGCGGCCAAACAGAGCTGTTGGCGTTCGATAATTGTTTTTTTACCCTTCTATGTGGAAACAAAACTGACACCTTTTTTTTTTTACAAGGAGTCATGTTTGCATAGACCACAATACCTGCATTCATAATGCAAACAAAAAATATAACTCTGTATGCACTGTCTTTGAAGTTGATTGGTCCACACCCGAAACAGCTTTTCTTAGAGCCTCTGGTCCAACCCATGTGAGACTAGGCTCTAAGGAAAGCTGTCTCGGGTGTGGACCAATCAACTTCAAGGACAGTGCATACAGAGTTATGTTTTTGTTTGCATTATGACTGCAGGTATTGTGTTCTATGCAAACATGACTCCTTGTAAAAAAAAAAGGTGTCAGTTTTGTTGCCAGATAAAAGGGTAAAAAAACAATTATCATATTTTTTTTACTGGCAAATTAGGTTCCAATGCTGTTGGCGTTCGTCAACGGTGGTGACCGGGTGGACGAAACTCGCGGAGCGCGTGAACTCCTCCTCCTCGACTATAAGATCGTCCACCAAAGACGAGACGGGGGGGGGGGGGGGCGAGAGGGTGAGGATGAGTGAAGTCGCAGACCGAGACTACCTCGTAACAGTTGTTAGAGACAGCGGTGCACTGAGCAAAGCCAACAGTGGTAATTGTGTTTGTGTGTGTGCTGGTGGAGAGTGGTGGGGTGGGAAATCGGCCGCCCTCCCACCACCAACAGTTGAGTAACGTGAGCGAGTATTTAAATGTTTGCTTTAGTCGAACGGGCAGAAGAGTGTTCTTGGTTCTTTCGGTAAAGTCACGTAGAAGGAAAATAATAAAATAATAAAAATAAAACTATAAAATAATTCTCACGACGTTTCGGCCACAACGCAAGCAGCCGTCTTCAGGTGGAGAACAGGTCTGTCGAGAAGGCAGAAGAGAATGACTACGTGAAACGTTGAGACTTCAGACGAAGTCTTGTGAAAGAATGAGTTCTGGTCGACATTAACGCTGGTCCACGTGGGGTGAGTTACAAAGACAAACAAAATCTCCCTGTATAGCATTAACACACTTGGGGCACGTACTGCTCGCCAGCAAGCCCCTATGAAGGCCGGCACGGCACACTATGCCCGAACCGCCTTTGTCTCCCCAGTGGCGATGTTTTTACACACCGCATCAGGTGCTCATTTGAGGCTGAGTCGACTTAGGGGAGGCCCAGTACTGATTCAGATAATCGCCACTGGTGTTGGCCGTGCGCGGTGGTGTATCAGCCAGTCATCTCGGTCAGGTAGTGCATCAGCCAGTCATCTCAGGTGGTGCATCAGCCAGTCATCTCAGGTAGTGCATCAGCCAGTCATCTCAGTCAGATAGTGCATCAACCAGTCATCTCGGTCAGGTGGTGCATCAGCCAGTCATCTCAGGTGGTGCATCAGCCAGTCATCTCAGGTGGTGCATCAGTCAGTCATCTCAGGTGGTACATCAGCCAGTCATCTCAGGTAGTGCATCAACCAGTCATCTCAGTCAGGTAGTGCATCAGTCAGTCAACTCAGGTAGTGCATCAGCCAGTCAACTCAGGTAGTGCATCAGCCAGTCAACTCAGGTAGTGCATCAACCAGTCATCTCAGTCAGGTAGTGCATCAGCCAGTCATCTCAGGTAGTGCATCAACCAGTCATCTCAGTCAGGTAGTGCATTAGTCAGTCATCTCAGGTGGTACATCAGCCAGTCATCTCAGGTAGTGCATCAACCAGTCATCTCAGTCAGGTAGTGCATCAGTCAGTCATCTCAGGTAGTACATCAGCCAGTCATCTCAGGTAGTGCATCAACCAGTCATCTCAGTCAGGTAGTGCATCAGTCAGTCAACTCAGGTAGTGCATCAGCCATTCATCTCAGGTAGTGCATCAGCCAGTCAACTCTGTCAGCCGTTCCAACTGCAAACGTAAACGTTGCCAGCACTAGGTTGCCGTGTGTTTAAAGCGGCTTAATTTAGACGCGTTTCTTTAAATGCCTGAGAACCAAAATGTGTTGTTGTTTTACAATCCTTGGAAGCACGAGGAAGGGACACATTTCAAAATGACAGCCGGTGAGAAAATGTAGATTATAAATATAGATTGATTTATTTAGTTGTGACCATTTGGGTTCATGGACCTGCATCGTTTGAGAGTTCCTCGGCAGAATTCGGTCCCCCGAGCGAGATCAGTGGACGAACAAACACAACACGAGCGACGGATTTGGAGGACTGCTTGGGCAATGGGCCAAGCGTGACCACAACAACAACAGCAGCAACAACAGCTGCAACAACAGCAGCAACAAGAGCACCAGCAACAACAACAGTAACAGCGACGACAACAACAGTAATAGCAGCAGCAACGACAGTAACAACCCTGCCTGTACGGGCTGTCGGCTGTCTGGG